TGTTTATTCAGCTGAGACATTTCTCACATAGGGACTCTAGAGGATACATAGTAGGTCTAATAAAGGCATCATTGAACAGGGGAATAAATTATGATTTTGACACTTGGCGTTTCGTTGTGTCCTTCAGGCGTTCCTGGTTAGAGTGCACTAACCGCAAAACTGAGGGACCACGATAAAGGACGCTTCAAGAAGTATATTTGGTTCACTTTGCGCTAATCTGCGATAACAACCTCAGATTGAGTTAACTTCGAAACAGCATTGCAGTGACGCACACAATAGTCGCTACGGTTGGACAAACCCAAAACCACGTAGGTGTTCCGTTCATCAGCCCTCGCATCCGCAGGAATGATGGGCGGTCGTTTATCGTCATTTTATTGACCTCTTGCAAACAAAAATTCCTAGCCTTCTAATTAAATAACGCGCCCACAGAGAAGCATGATTTTATGAATGAATACATGCATAATGAGAAAATCTCCTGGCGCAAACAAAACGGCTAACTATCGCCTTCTTATGGTCTTGTAGCCGACAAATTCTCAATATGCAGAAATATGTACAGGATGTATTTGCATTTGCTTATTTGAAGTCGTTGAGTGTATGCTGACAATCGTTCATTTAAATTAGCTGGTTCTTTGGTATACAAATTGATAGTTGTGGCATGATCTTCTTGACTTCGTTTACTTATTTCACATCATTACCTATCACATTTTGCTTAACTGACACCCGTAGGGTCTTTTGACATGAGGCGGCAAAGTAAACTGCTCAGCCTGTTCTACATATTTTTTTCTGTGTAGGATGGGCTGTGAACTTTTCCAGTACACTGATTTCAGATACTGAGACAATTCGTCTCCATAATCTGAAGTGAGATGCAGTTATAGGACATTCGTTGGTAAATTAGAACGGAATGATTTAGGCATGAAACTACAGAGCTCCGGTGGCGACATAAAGGGCTCCTTCTATAGGGATGCCAGGAACCGGCATCTGGCGAGAATGGACGCAAAAGTCATGCACTGCACTTCAACGTATACCGCACATATAGTTGGCCAGATGATAGTTAGAGACCAGTATTGTAGGACTGGTTTTAGAAATGGTCGGGTCAATGAAACAGACATTTGAGACTCAGTATAGAAGATTACCCAGAAGAGAAACTAAACACTACGGCCGCTGACGGCACAAAGCTGAGATCCTAGTTTTTAATGTCTGAGTCTGCCGAAAACATTTTTGTTTTTTAATTTGTAATCATCACCTGACAGCCTATGCTGATTTTTTCTCCCCTGACCCAAGCCAGTAAAGAAGGATGTGTACAGGTTAATAACTTAATACACTATTTCCACGGCATTAAAAGTGGTCGATCACAATCGATCGAGCGAAAGCCACAGTGCATTTACAGATGCTTGTGGAGGGAGCAATCGACACGGATGTCAACCGTAGATGTACCAGTATCTAGGATTGCTTAACACTGGCTTTTGGAAAATCATGAGTCAGAGATGACCGCTCCCGTTACATTTCTAGACCGGAAAACATAACGAAAAACACACAAATAACGTAACGGAATACAGTTTGGAGTCGAACGGTTTAAAGCTGCATCTCGCAGCTTCAGAATATCAGAAAAAATTGGTGTTCGATCTCTTACCCAGTATTTCTACCTTCGTTTTGGTAGATCGTCTAGTCTTCGTTATTATTGTCAACTTTCTGAAATTACTGCTGATAGATCGAAATGGAGGCGCTTACTTCAGTTGCGGATCCTCAGTCCGAATGCAAGTGGGAGCCGCAAATTGTAAGGGTCTGCGGTTGAATAGTCGCATAGTCCTTTGATTACTAGCTGACGTGCAGTCAAACCTAAGATCTGTAGGTTTTTAGCGTCTGGATTGGAATTGCTGAATATAGCCTAAAAGAAGACAAATAGCCATTTCAATTTTTCTACATTTCTCAGTAAGATTTCGCAACAATGCAGTTACACAGAGAGAAAAACAGTTATTACGTTCTGCCCTGCACTTAAAAAAGGTTAGTGCTTATACTATACACCTAACCATATATTTTGCGTCGCTGAGATCCCTAAATAATGATTGGTTAATTTGAAATCAAAATTTGTAAGGGTCATATTTGCAGATGGTGATCGCCGGTTTCCAGTCTTCCGATGATGGCCGACAATAGTTTGATGTAAAGGATTGTTGTTAGAAAGCAGCTTCTGCTCGAAATGCTTACATTACTTGCCATTCTTTGCCTTATGAGTTCAATTTTTCTTGTCTACTGTGAATCTTGCTTCTCGAGAAAGATTAGAGCAGAAAGCGTGGGCAGGATTATAACGAGAACTTATTGTACTCCCACGCACAAAACAAATTAACATTGGGACAGCAATACAGGTCGGTCTTGATAATGTGCTCATTTTGCCCGCCGAATAATGCTACCGGAGCTGAATTAGTCGGAAATATTGCGGAGAAACGAACAAACCGCTCTAAGTCTTTAGTTGCTGCATTGCCCAAATGGGATGCTGATCGATGCCCTAATTAGCGCCCTGTCAAAAAGCTCCTTTGCCTAAAAACCATATGTCTTGATATAAGCCCTAGAATATTAATCCATTCCTGCTCGTAAATAATAGATTAATGCACTTGCGAAGATTGCTCTTGCGGGACTGAATAGCCTTTACCAGGCAAGTGCATTTTCTACAAGTCACTTTGATTAGAATATTTAATCGCTCACTCATTCAAACGTACCAATTCAACGTCAGTCAGAGGAGGCGCGATATTTATCCAGGCCGTAGGTTCTGGTCCCGGGATGGGATCGGCGAATATATTGCAGCACAATTCACAATAGTTGCACAGCTTCCATGGCCGGACCATAAATTAGCGATTTAAGTAGTTGATAGGTTAACATAAACGTCTCATACTCAGTAAGACCGTTCTAGACTGGGATCCAAGTTCTATCGACTTACGATTTCGAACCAGTCTAGAACCTACCAACCTGCTATTCTGCACCCTTCTGGGAGATCGTCTACATCAGTTATTGCCTTTCGATAGGCTGCCAGTTTAAATAATATACGTTTGTGCCTTCACCACAATGTGCACGCTTTCCGTCATAGCTAGGTTGCTTTAAATTCAATTTTACGTGAATTCCGCAAATACTTCTATGTTACACTTGAAAATGCGAATTGACAAACACGTGTTATCGAAAATTTTTTTGTTAGGCCTATAGAATTAAATGGACATTTTTGGGAACGTATGGCAAAGCCCACTGGTGCGACTGCAGAAACGAAAGATGTCTTCATAAGACTGCCTTTTGCAGGGGACGCAGAGAGCGAGCCAGTCAGACGGCGCCTAATTACAGCTATCACGAGGACATTCACCGCAGTGAATGTACGCGTATGCTTCGCAACCTCTCTCCTCCTTTTTTGGGAGGCAAAGACAGACTACCGCTGGAGACGACATCTATGGGCATTTACTCATTGACTTGCAACTGTGCAGCCTGATACACTGATCGTACAACGAGACGCCTGATAAAGAGTGTGCGTGAGTATATGCTGGCCGGGTTAGATAGAGGTGAGACCCGACCGATTTCGAGTTCCATTCTCGCACATTTATTTGATACGAATCAGCGAGTCGATGCCAAGGAAGCATTTCAGATTGTCTACTGGACACCAACATGCTTCTTTAAACCAAAGGATGCCAGCGACGGCCGAGGCAGTGGCCTTACGTCTAGAGATGCCAGTGTTATGCTGTCAGAAAACGCTGACACAAGCGTTCTCTCTACCGCGGTCAACGTTAACCCCCAGTGATGACGACATATCGCCACATATCCCTAATTACAACGATAGGTACTCCGTGTACTTACTCCAAGTACATCGCTAAAGAAGTCTCTTACACTGTCTTTCCCTGCCTCAAATATATAAACATTTATTCAGAGTTTGGCGTCGCTAGAGGTCGAATAAGAAATTGAAAACTTCTTGAAATGTGTAGTAATATTTGTTCTGTGCATTGTTAACACTGAGTCCCTAGATCTTTGTCGGAGTTGTGGCGAGTATGCAGAACGGTCGAATTCTTTAAAATAACAGAAAATCGATACTTGTATTTCATTCTTGTAAATACTTCATGGGCTGGGTTGACATCTTGTGCTGATTGGTTTTGACCTTTTCCATATCTGTGCGGATTTTTGTGTTCGGCGTCTAGTTAAATCCGTCGCTTAATGTTATTCATTGAAATATATAGCCTTCAATAATTCTAGACCATTCTTAGACGGTGATGTTTCTGATAGTGTTCGCTTTCATTTTTTCTACCCTATCGTTTTCTCCAAAAAGTTGCCGTAACATATATCCTGGTGTGTAATATGTAATACATGATTGTTTTTTTACTTGGTACATTTACTTATATCAACTTACTATTGTTACTATGCAAAACTGATTTAATTTATTAAGAGATAGCTTAAATAAATTTAACTTACTCCACTGATGAAAACAAATGCTGAAATAAAGCGACGTATTTGTGCATATGGATATGCGTTTATACAGACTGTTTCCATAACGTTTTGGACGTTTTAAAAAGTGCCAGTAAGCCTTTTACCTTTACGCAGCTACAAAAACAACCCGTTTCATTCGTTAATGTGAGCTCATTTATTTTTGGTTTTGTAGCTTTCAGAATGCATCTAATGGCCTTTCACATTAATTAGAAAGGTACTTCCTAATATAAAAAACACCCAGAGCATATAGAACAGTTAAAAAACAGCGAAACGCAGGCACGCAACCTAAGTGATGCGATCGATCAAACGCAAATTAGGACGAGAATTCGCGCGAATTTACTTTGCATAAACACGTCAACATTTAATTAGCGCTTTCGATAGTCTCTAACCTCAAGCATCAAGGCTTACAATGAAGCACTTTTATAAGCTAGAAAGTCCACAAAAAGAACTGGGAAAATGACCTAGAAATAAATTTAATTCTTTAAAATAATGTTATGTACAAAAGCAGCGTTAATTTTCGGGATACTTTACAGTTAAAAAAAACAGAAAGCCGGTTAGAAATCTAGCCTTAGCGCGGTCAGTATGATCATTAGTGGGAAAGAACATAGAGCGGGTTTATTGGAGGTCACTCGAGGTAGAGAAATTCTGGACGTCATCCGCAGCTGGTCGTTCATTGTGGCATCGTTGTAAAAAGCGTGTATATTGTTTTCCTGCGTTAACGGTGTCCGCTCCCTCGGCCTCAATTCCTTTAACAGCAAAGTATTAGGAGCTGAAAACGCAAAAGTCTCTTAAAAGTACAGGGACAATGTCAGAGAAGTTTAAAACATATTTATTTTCCGCACATTAATGCGGCAACGGATCGTAGACGCCCTTTTGCCGAAAAAACTGTTACTGATATGCATTTTGTCTGGTTGCAAAAAGTTTTATCGAATACACATATATATATTCTCCGATGTGTTGACCCATTTAGTATCAGTAGCAATATCAGTGTATTTCAGGCGAGGATGTTCCTTAAGTTAATCAAAGAGACCAAAATTCACAATTTGATATAAAGATGTAACATCGTGTGTAGTGGAATGTAAGAAACGGTCGGCTTTTCTTAGCTGACGAGCATCAATGAAAAAATACCCCACGTGGCTAAACAAAATGAAATTCCGTGAAATAACCAAGTCATTGCACGAAGTACAAACCATACCAGCTTTTTCCGCATGAGTTTTGTTGAAATGACCTGTTGTCCATAAACGGCCGTCAGCAGGAAGATTAGGATTTTGTTTTTCTAACAAACATGGGTAAGTAATGGAATCAGATGTCAGTGCACTTTACCTAGTTTACTTAGGGATAACAGTCTACCGTTTAACAAGGTGATACATATAAGTTTGATTTAAAACTTTACATGCTATTTGGCCATTATTTTATACATTTCGTGCTTGTTTTTTGATAAAAAGTATTTTGTCAATATAAAGTGGGTGTTTTGGGGAAAGTTTGCCTTGAAATGCTCTGCAAGTTCCAATATTCGAAAACGCAACCTTTGGATAATAGCCTGTGCATGGGACTTAAATCAACGCCTAGTTTGTGGCCACGTATCTTCCTATCTACAGGACTGTTTTTAAGTTGCAAAAATTCTCATAACAGTATTCGGAATATTGTTTGGCGTGCATAGGCTTGCCTTTGACAAACTCAAGTCAGGACGGCTAATTTAAATTGGAATGAGATCTAGTAAGTCATTTCAGTCATAAAGGAATTCAACTGAAAGCTGTTAAAATGCATAAATGTTTCCATATACAATTTCTATTTCAAATTATAATGACAGTCCAAGCCTTCGCTTATGTGTACTAACACGCCTTCTGGCGTCAAATCAGATAATATTATCGCACGCTTCAAAAATCATACCACGATGAGAGTCCGCCTTAAGGCGTTTCAGCAAACAAGAAACATTTCAATAAAATGATAAATACACAGACTTTTGTTTAAAGTTTAATGGTCGCGCAGGAGTGGGATGTTGAAGTTCACCTTTGACGCTTAGCCTAAAAACCTTTTCCAATATGTCATCGAAATTGATTTGGCACGAGTAATAGCCTGAATCCGAAAGACGCACGTCGCTGATAACAAGGCTCCAGTCTTCCATAAAACGCCTGGAAAGCTTAAATCGGGGATCATGTGTCTCCAATCCCAGTGTAAGCTCCTGGAGATCATTGTTCTTCCACCAAGAAATCTAAATACGGACAATCAACATTTTCATTGAGCTAGTGTTTGCAATAGTCGCATATTATAAATCAAAACGCTATTTAATGCGATAGCATTCAACTTTATTTTACAAAACGTCTGTTATTTGCTTGCAAATTCAAGAATCCCTACAAATGAATATATAACTTACCGTGCATGACCTATCTCATGAAATATTAGCCGAAATTCCGAAATGCGTTTCTGATTAGGAAGGATTATCTAACTGGGGTTGTTATACTGATTACCATGCAGCATTATCCTATAAAATTTCTGACTAACCAGAATGTCGGCTTTTGAATGTACTTCTATGTGGCCTCCAGCGGTAACCACCCTTGGTAACAAATAGCTATTTATGTAGCATGCATTTTTCCTATTGATTTCTAATGGTCTTATAAATTTAAATATATTTTATAAAAAATATGCACAAAATATGCTTGATTTTGCTCACTTGGAAGGAAGTTACATTTTTTTATATTTTATGCCTGAAGGAGGTGTACATTTTGGTTTCTAAAAGGTTTATACTTATGCGACTTTTAAGACCGTGCGATGTCTATGCATGAAGGACCGCACCTGTCCGTTCATTAATACTCCTCATTAAATGTACAACACACCCCGGATGCATTGCAAAAGTTCGTGAACTCTATGTGGTTTCTTCTTAATAGAGGAATATTTGATTTTCTTTACGCGAAAAGCATGAGCCTTGTAGAGTGAAATTGGTAAACGCTGATGCAATGGCAGACCAGACTGAAAATTATTCGGGAAATGGGATACTTTTTTAATACCTAAGTACACGCTTAATTCGGGCCAAAAATATAAAGACAATGTGATTTCCTGTCAAATGAGCATAAGCAAGCATATTGTTGTGCATGTATTCTATAAAATATATCAGACTTTATAAGACCATCGAAAATCAATAAGAAAAATGCATGCTATTTAAGTAGTCATTTGTTACCGAGTGTAGTTACTACAGGAGGTGAAAAGGAAGTGCATTCAAAGGCCGACATTCTGGTGAGTCAGAAATTGTATAGGATAATGCTGCATGATAATCAGTATAACAACCTCACTTAAACAATCATTCCTAATTAGAAACGAATTCCAGAACATTGACAAACATTTCATGATATCGGTCACACAATGTACACCAAGATAATTTAGTCGATTCAATATGTATAAGCAAAATTGTAATTTCCTTTGCTGTAATTATGTATGTTCGAAGCCAACGTTTATTGGTTACCCCATTTGGATATGGAAAAGTGAATATAATCAATTCAAATATTTTGAAAGCACCTTACATTGGGTATATAAACAATATCAAAGCTTAATATGAAGCTTGCAACTTGATATTATTGGGATATGTTCACTAACTATCCCGAAATTTTAATATCACCATTTGTAATGGGTCTGCTTTTGACAGATTTCGTTTTCGATTCTAAGTGTAAAACCCAACTCCTCCAGCAACATTTTAACCGAATAGGCAGTCGGCAGCAAGTAGGGTATTTTTGAAGTCGCGACCACGTTTAAAAAGCTTTCAGATTTAGGAGAATTATATTTGTTAAATTTCGGCCATCTGCGCATACATCTTTGCGCGTTTTAAAATTCGGGCTAAACAAGTCGCAGCCATTTAGACAAGGTCAGTGGTTAATGGCAAAGCAACATCCAAAGCTGCCCTGAAAATCAGAAAGTATCAATTGTCAACTATTCTCTTTTACAAAAGGCAAATTGTAAGCACACAACAGATGTCCCCTTATTTATCGTTTTCGCACACAGCACGACGGATACGTTAGACTTTTGTGGTAAATATTATGACAGTTTGCGTAGTGCGACTGTTTACACTGCTTCGTTAGAATACATTTAGCTGCCAAATATCATATATTATCGCGCAAATTGATTCGATTTTGATTGAGCTAGTGAAAAATAATAGAACAAACTACGGTCCATTTAACGTATGTCAGTGCATTGAGGAGTTAAAAGTATTCCAAGTAGTATTATAAGCAACAGATCCGCGTTTAACCTGCCATTTATCCTATGGTTCATTTAACGTTTCCGAAAAAATAAACATTTACATTTGGGATGCATAACAATAGTTACAAAACTTATTTGCAGAAATAGATAAATATTCTTTTGAATTAACATTATATCTAGAATGGACTGGGTCTAGCAAAACATTGAGAATTGTATCGAATAACTTTGGAAATTGAGGGCTTTGAGCGATAATTAAGGCTCTATTAAGGGGCTGAAATCAATCAATTAAGGCATTTTACAGGTTAATGCATCATAGATTTTTCAGAATGCACTGTTAGCGTCTTCCCAATTCTACCCTAATTTTTAAGCACGTATTTTTAATCATGTCCATGGAAAGAGTGCCTAAGACATTCACAATGCCCCTCATAGGCCGACGTTTCAATGTTTTGCAAATTGGTGGGCATAAAACTTAAGTATGACGATGAATCTAAAAGGCGAATGTCACATTATCGCATAAGATATTGTCTACTTATAACATCCATGCATTTAGGACACATGAATTCTACACATTGTGAAAAAAATCCTCAATGTTTCCACGTTATAAATCTGGACCACCTCTAAAGTATTAACTATTCCCGTCACCTAATGCAATTTAAAATGTCTTCATAATCTTGCACAACTACGAAAATCGATTTTTGCTGATTTAAAACGCGACAAAATTCGTGTTTATGCATCTTTGTACCGCCAAATCTTCTTCTTATTTTCTTTAACTTTTCATCGCAAATGTAACAATTGAATTTTTGATAAGAAATTAACGAATGGGGTATAAATGGACTTTAAAATCTCTAAATGTACAATTCCAAAAAAGGTTCTTTAGCAACTTCTGGAAGAAGAATAAATTAAAACATCCTTCACACTGGAAAAAAAGTGCCTAATGTCTGGTGCATAGAATAAAACACTTCAAAAAATCCATTAGGCTAACCCTTTTTACAGTATGACCTTGGTTTTGCCGAAACCGCAGGTGTATAAGCCAAAGGTGTAGAGAACAACGTGGATATTCAGTCATAAGTATAAATAATTTTTGATAATCCGACACCCCCTCAGCCAAATTTCTTGTAACGCTTTGCGTCTTTTTACTGGCAGCGGACCTTAGGATCGAAACCTAAAATTGAGGACTAGTTCACTGCTTTGGCGTTAAATGATTGATACTATCCAGTTACGGTTGTTTATTTAATCACGATTATAACGGAATTTTATCTCACGTATTTTTTGCTGAAGCATATGAGCACCTTTTGATTACTGTCAAAGATATGCAAATTCCCGATTTATACTTTCTCCGCGGCTGCCATTTTACAATGTTGCGCCTCTTTAGGAGACTATTATTTGCAAACCGCTAGTTGAACGATCGGCAAGGTTTGCAGAAACAGGCAAGTAAAACGCACAGAATGATTGAGTAAAAAACTGAGGTGCAAACTACACTGAACATATTCTGTCCTGTGAAAGATGAATACTTCGTCCGACTCAGACTTACCAGAGTGACTGAGAAATTAACATTGAAAATAAAGCATTGCAGTTCCACTCTTTCGGAAGCGTGTGCTACAATTTCCGTCTCCACATTTCCAGCAAAGCAGGGTTTCTTGTTTGGTTGAAAAAAACCCTGATCAAAGGTCTGACAGTTATGCATGTTTGTTTCATTCTGTAAATCTCGTGTGTGATATAAATCCAAGGCGATTGTTTTGTACACAATGAGTAGTTGCATAGCCGGCAAGTTTATAAAATAAATCCCAAAAAGTCTTCTCATTTGGTTTAGTTGTTTATTTTGTGATTCGATTCGGCGAAATATGTCGTTGTTTTCGCCCGAAGAGAGATGGATGTATTGCAGTATTCATGAGAAGGGATACTCGAGCCTTGAAGGAAAAGTGACAGACCACATCTAAGGGGTTTGGAGCAGCGTCTAAAATTGGTTATCAGCGGTTAAGGAAAAAATGAGAAACATATACCATCAGTGAGTAATTAGGAGCTTACAAGCTGCATTTCAATAAAATTGCAGCAGTTTGCGTTGCTTTGTGACTATTTAAAAAAACGTCTCATTTATCACAAAATGCCCACAAGATACGACAAATTGGAATTGTCTGCGTTCTAATTGGTCAAAATGCAGCCTATGAGACCAACCGCAAGGGAGAGTCCAGTGATGAACTAGCGCAGTGAGCCGTACGATTTCTTCAGTAGAGACGCAGCGTGAAACATCTGGCCATTGCCAACTGATTAAACAGTCAGCTGCGCCTGATTATAATTTCTCTGATAAAATATTATCATGGAGATTAAAAGGTTTACTGCTATTAACCTGAAATTGCACAATATCTGATTTGGTTATGAAAACGGACCCTAAGAGATCTTAGTAGCACATGTATTCTTCCATAAACATGTCCCTGACAACATATTTCAAGGCAATCAGTTATTTTGACCGCTGCTTATGCCGTAAAACGAGAGCTGAGATAATCAAATTTACACAGGCGGAGTGTTTTGGATTTGCCTGGACGAATACGCATAACACACGGTCGAAATTACGGAAGAAGCCGACAAAATTTCAATTACTTATAAGGTGAATGTAACTTGGTGGATTTATATAAAACTGCTATTCGGCGAGCGGCAAACAGCAACGGCTCTTGCATTGCTGAATTTATTTTTTAAAAGGAAACTTCGGTGTGTATGTATCTACTTGCGGAAAACGCACAGCAACATCATAGAGTTCATTGTTTTTTGTGGTTCTCATAGATTTGCGGCAACTTTGGAAAATGCGCAACTCCTAAAAGCACCGGTTCGGTATTCAGCCTAAATTCTGGGTTCCCTTGCGCGTGAGTTCTGATCACAGTGATTATGCTCCATGTAGATGATGATTATGATGATGATGATTTTAACATGGGCCAATCCCCCTTATCCTGACTGTGATATTATTTCGTGGATTAGGCTGTCTATTCACACTATAGAATTTAACATTTTGTCCTTTTTTATGGTGCCCGATGCGTAAATGCAGGACTAATACCTCGGAAATTCATTGCTTTTTGATTGGTGTTTCTGATTGTCAATAGCCATTTACTCCCGTTTATTGTTTGTTTAACAACAGTCACATAATAGCTGCTTTTTAGCGTTTTAGAACATCTAAGCGACAACAGATAGCACACTTATCAAACTTGCGTGCATAAAATTACTCCAATGATGTGATTTCGGTTAGTCTAGGCTAACAATGTTGACGACAGGAACTGGTGATGGCTAGTAAAAACTCCGGGGTTTCCTTTTATGACGAGTCTCTTCAATTTTAGTTATTTTCATTTTGTTCCAGAAATCTGGCTTTCCACTTTCACATTGCTAGATTATCCAGCATTCCCGCGGTCAAAGTTCGATTAAGTCTCTGCATTATTTCGGGTAATTATGTCTGCAGTGGCGGATTGTGCAACCCCACCTCTCAACTAAATTCAACTGACTGATTATTGTTTATGAATGGGACTATAAGCAGGTATCTTTTAAGAAATAAGTAAGTTAGAGCTACGCGATCGTCAAGAGGAATCGTTCAGAGGCAGAGCGTTTGTGGTATGACAGAGGCTAAGTAAATCCAAAACGCAGCCGGCGGTCTTTAAACGACGCGTAGTATGGAGAGCGCCGATACGGCACAAAATGTCCAACTACTCTTCCGATAGAAATAACTTAAGTTGCGGCAAACAAAATCAACAACGAAATGAAATGCAAATCAAAAGGATTACGGCGAGTCAAGCAACTTATCACTTAAAATGGCCAAACAGTAACAATTCGGTGCATATGGTCATGTCTAAGGGTGGCGTAACACATAAAAGGGACCTTTGATTAACAGTGGATTTATAAAACCAAACAATTCCCTCTAAAACAAATATATTAGCTACCTATTCAATCTGAATCCAGTTAGGTTACAAAACCTATCCTTACAACAATTTTCTTTCAAACTGTAGCGTGCTCCATATTAATTTGTCCTGTGACACGACTAAGAACTAAG